TTTTTTAATTTCCTTCGGCGTTAACCCCTTCAAATAAAAGTATTTGATGACAGCACGATTTTCCTGCTTTTCCATTTTTACGAAAACCACAGAGGCGTCTTGTTCAGCGTGCTGTCAAACCTACACTAGCAAGGAGATCGGGCTGAAACTATTCTTAATTGAATGAGTTGCAATAAGTGACAGCTCGTCACCTCAAGGTAGGCCTAGTGGCGTCATCTCTTGGTTAGGCCGGAAACTTATCAATCCACCCTCGTATTTTAAGATACATATTTTCAGAAAGCTTTCCTTTAATAAATAAATTAAGAAGTATGGCGTAAACTTTTTGTAACAAAATTCAATAAACCGAGCGTATTCCTTTGTTAAGGATAACGGATATTAACAAATGACATTTTTAATACGATATAAGTACGTTCAAGTCAATTCGATTTTCGCAGATGGTGTTAGACAGGACATTAGTATACAGTAGAACTCTTAGATCTCATCACCGTAAAGGAAAATATCTGAAGAAGTTATAATAAGGTTGAAAGTTGACACACCTTCGTCTTATGAATAAGTAACGGGTTGTTCGATGAATGCTCCGAATTCTAGGATGACTGCGAAAGGCAAAAAGGGTTTAGCACACGGAGAAAATTAAATTTTTATGAGAACGCAAAATTTGTCCTAGAAGCAGTACAATTTATTAGGTAACTTGTAATAATCTCAATTTTGACATGTTTGTTTAAAAAATATTTCAAGTTTCTTATAGAACAAACAAACAGTGTCGTGTTTTGACATTGGGGTTTTGATCTATTTTGTTTGTTCTACAACAACCGCCAAAGTTTTTCCAATCTTCATATTTCAAGTTTCTTAATTATTACAATTAAATTTGTAATGTCAACTAAGATACCTAGTAAATTTATTTCTGCTGGAATTTTATTTTTACAAATTCGGGTGCAAATTGTAATTTTTGTTTAATTTAATATCGCTTTAATATTTACTTAGATAAATTTTTCTTTTTCATTTTCTCCGTGTGACAAAGATTACTACGACTATTCTGCTTATACCTGTAGTTTCGGCACCTACAGCAAATTTTTAAGACGACTTCTTTTGGAAAACAACTATTAGATTAGTGGTAAGTCCAAAATTAATAATTTTTTCTTTACAGGTTTTCAGACAATCCTATACAGCGCACTATACTGTCTATGATGTTAGCAACGAGTAAGTGATCAGTAAACTAATTTAGTAACACAGTAGATAGTTATAAATTTATCACATAATTATAATCAAATCGTTTAGAATTAAAAGTCAATTAAGTTTTCTTTAATTCTATGCAGAAACATAAAATTTTTGGGGTAGGCATTTCTCTAACAAAAACTACATGAAAGTTTTTGGAAGAATTATGTAAATTAAAACCAATTATGTACAATTTTATTAAAAAACCTTTTCCTTTGGCTTAGCAATTAAAATTCTGAAATCAGATGTATGTAAATTAAATTTACCCGTAATCAATAAGGAGATTGGTCGTTATGTATTGACAAAAATTGTGTTTAAAAAACATAAAATTTCCTACCTATGTTCTTTTCGTTATGTATAAATCATTCAAGTGAAATTCATTAGCCACAACATTAGTGATAAATTTGGCTCGTTGTTAAGCTAGGTCTCGTATGCTACATGCAATTCGCTCACGGCACCGCTGAAAATGTAAATTGCTTCGCCGTCACTATACACGACGAATTTTCTGTAATTTGTTTCCCTACCCTCACGCCTACACACACACAGACACACAAACACAATTGCACAAAATATATTTATATATTAGACAAGGCAAACACATAAAATACTTAAAATTCTGTACCATGCGGACTTGTGCCACGCAGAATGCTGATATATCTAGCGTGATAAATACAAATGATGCGAAAAACGCGGCTTTTATATACCGTCTAATGATGTCTGCAATAGGCTATGTTTTATTCATCTGGCAGGTACATCTGTGGATAACACTTTTTCTATCCCTTTATTCTGACGCTTGTACGTAAACAAATCAACCAAACTAATTTTTTTAACTATATCTATTGGATTTTCAAATTCGTAGATACGGGGGCCTTGATGTCATAAGAAACTAATCTAGTATCCAGTATTCTCCTTATTCTTTTCAATTGTAATGTAGGATCAAAGCCCGACCGGGTAAAAGTCTTTTTACTGNTATACCGTCTAATGATGTCTGCAATAGGGCATGTTTTATTCATCTGGCAGGTACATCTGTGGATAACACTTTTTCTATCCCTTTATTCTGACGCTTGTATGTAAACAAATCAACTAAACTAATTTTTTTAACTATATCTATTGGATTTTCAAATTCGTAGATACGGGGGCCTTGATGTCATAAGAAACTAATCTAGTATCCAGTATTCTCCTTATTCTTTTCAATTGTAATGTAGGATCAAAGCCCGACCGGGTAAAAGTCTTTTTACTGTAGGTGGTTGTTCTTACAATAAAAGGACTTGTTACTCTATCTGACTTTGATTCTACATAATATATATTTTATTATCATTATAAATGGTAGGTTTTTATTGTAGTGAAGAGTCAAAGTCAAATAGGGTAATAAGTTCTTTTACTATAAAAACAACCACCAACAATAAAAGGACTTATTACCTTATATGGCTTTGATTCTGGTCTACCATAAAAACCTAATACTTGTAATAATTAAAGTATGTCATATACCGGTAATCGGAATTCCTACAATCCGAATTTCCCAGTAATCCGGACGAAAATTAAATTTTATGTTTTTATGCTATCTATGTATTCCATAATTTCGAACGTAACTTGAGACGAATTTTTCGCTTTAGGGAAAGTTCTCGACTGTTTAAAGCATCATTGAGACCGCACAAAACGTTAGTTCCTGCTGAAAAGCATGAGACAGTTCAAAAATTAAAAAGTATGATGTTAATGAGTTCCAAATTATTCAGTTTTTCAGTAATTCGGATTGTAATTTATTCGGATTAGTGAAGCTTTACTAATATAATCAGTTTTTCGCGTAGATACATATTAGCTAACATGAATATAATAAGATACAAACACCGATAATTAAAAATAAACTGAAAAGTTGACATTGATGTATTTTTTCTTTAGTCATCATATCCCTGTACGATTAGCTTCGGCTCCAAAAGTTCAACCGCAGAGGCTTCAGTACGTTCGCTGGATAAGCGACACCAATGCCTTATTAATCTTCTACGAAAACGATATTTACTACAGGGCATCGCCTGTAGACGAAACGGACACTAGACTAACTTTTACGGGACAGCCGGACGTCATTTATAATGGCCTTCCTGACTGGCTCTACCAAGGTAAACATTGATATTAAAAGTTTCTTAATTGAATGAGTTGCAATAAGTGACAGCTCCTAAAAAGATAGGCAAACGAAAAATTGAAAGGCGATAACTTTGAAAATCGTCCAAACCAATGAAATGTATTGGTGAAGGATAAAATAATTCGAAGTGGTCTGTATTCTGTCGAAACTGCCTGACGCGGATCGCGATTTCGATCTTTTTGGATCTCATCAGCGCGTCGCAGGCAGCTCCGACA